TTGGATGTTGGATGTTTCTAGGTTTTTCACCATCATAAACCATACCAGGATGAACATCCTCAGTCATAAGTCTTGGGGGCCATTCTTAGATTCACTGAGGGCAGCAGTGCTGGGGTCCTGAGTGTCCTGCCCTTTTGGATAGCATGGAAGTGTCAGCAGACCCGTACCTAGTGCAGGACTTGCAAACCTTACCCCAATCTGAGCACCTGTCAACAACCCCTCCTTTCCAAGCTCACGTGGATTGGTCAAAGCAGGAATGGACATACTGGCTGTGGCCTGACGGCTTCTGATTAGGAGGTTCGGCCTCAAATCCTTGTCCACGCTGGGCTGCCTTGCCCATTTCCTAAGCCCATGGATGTACTGGGGATCAGTGATCCTGTAAAAGGGGCCACCCCCACCCCACGCCTCTACTAAAGCCTCCTCATTGCTGTTTGTTTTTCTACCTTTTTCTTTTCTAGTTCCTTCTGCCCCAGTGATAAACCCACAGGCCCCCAACTCAGCCACGGGTTCCTCGGTCCGAGTGTGCTGGAGCTTATACTCCGATGACACTGTGGAGAGCTATCAACTGTCCTACCGGCCAGTGCGGGACAGCTCACCTGGGAAGGACCAAGCAGGTGAGGCTCTGCCAGGAACACACTGATGGTCCGGAATGGCTGAGACCCCTCAGAGGCCCTGGCCTTGCCTGCCTGGCAGCTGGGAAGGTGGGATTCGGGTGAATCTGCTCGCCCAGCTCTTTGGAGCTGTCGCCACCTGGGAACTACCCAGAGGATGGGATGCCGGCAGGTGAGCATGGCAGAACAGGCTAGGAAGGCAAGTTGGGGCCTGAGTGGGGGCCACAAGGCCGGGCTGAGGTGTCTGGAGTGTATCTGCACCGTCAGATCAGTGCTGCCCTTGAGACGAGTCTCTGGCTATACTGTTTGCAGGAAAGTGGGGTCACCCCTCGCTGGGGAAGCCCAGCTGGGCTCGTGGGCTCTAGTGGGTCCTGGCATGTGAGGGCAGGCTGGCTCGCCTCAGAGCAACCCTGAGCTGAGAGAAACTGGAGGGTTAGTCTGCAGAGCCCTGTGAAGGGTGAGGGCAGCTGCTGATCTGACCCACATTCCAGACTGAGCCAGCTCCTGGCAGTGGCCCCCACTGTGGGCACCTCTTGGCCCAGCTTCTTCCCAAGGAAATGGAACTGACTGGCCTGGGGTGAGAGCTGGGGTAGCTGGCTCCCCCGCACCTCCCACATAATAGATAAGCCCTTTTCCTGCTGAGAGGGGAGGGTCAGCCAAGCATCCGAAGGAACCAGGGATCAGGGCCAGCCTGGCAGAGCCTGTCCTGTGTGCATGGGGTCAGAGTGAGCTTCCTGGGAAGGGACTTAGAGATTTCCATTTTATGGATGAAGAAACTGAGACCCAGAGAGAAATGAGCTGTCCATGGGGACACTGTGAGTTATGGCAGAACCAGGATGAGAATCAAGCCCGCAGGCTCCCTGCCCAGAGCTCTGCTCATTGTACCAGGTCGTGCAGGTGGAGGGTTCTGTGTGCTGAAGGTGAGGATGGTTTTTCTGCCCAGGGACCGGGAAGGGAGGGAAATGGTTGAGAAAAGGAAGAGTAAGCAATGATGAGGGAGGGCAAGAGCCGTCAGAGTAAAACTAAAAAGGGCGTGGAGGTGAAAAGGGAAGTTGGGGACGAAGTCAGATCTTATTAATCACAGTTTATGCCATGAATCAACCCTGTTGGCACCCTGTGCAGACACACAGGAGAAGCTGTTGCGTTGGAGCTGTGCCATGGCAATCTAAGATATTTTAAATGGACCACTTTGTTATAAAGGAACTGGTTATCAGAGAGCGGATTAATGAGTTATCCCTGCCTTTTAGGAGTCTGGGTAGGTTTGCAGGTGTAGCAGTTGGCTTTTGCCGCATAACAACACCCCTACACACACTGATACACCACTTTGGCTTAAAATTACAGACATTTACTATTTCTTATAACTCTGTGAGTTGGGTAGACAGATCTACTCTGGGCCAGCTTGGGCAGGACTGGATGGTCAAGCATGGCCTTGCTCATGTATCTGGGGCCCCAGCCGTGATGGGGCCTCTGTCCACATGGTATCATCCTCCAGGAGGCTGACGCTGTTCCCAGCGCCAGAGGACAAGCCCCTGTGCGCACTTCCCAAGCCTCTGCTTGCATCATGTTTGTTATGAGCTGAGCAAGTCACATGGCTAAACCCAGCCTCTTTCTGCAAAGTCACATGGCAGAGGGCGTACATTACAGGGATGGGAGGAATTCATGGCCAGCTTTGTAAGCTGCAGCAGAGGGATTCAGCACAGTGACTTTGGAACCAGGTGGCCTATTTTAGGGTTGAATTCTTGTCTTTTATTTTTTTCCCCAGAGTTTACAATGACTGTCAAAGAAACATACTGCTTAGTGATAAACCTTGTGCCAAATACCCAGTATGAATTTTGGGTCACAGCTCAGAACAGGGCTGGTGTCAGCCCCGCCAGTGAGTGTGCGGTGTACATGACAGGTAATGGGGCCATTTCTTTCTGTAGCAGGACCTTCATTCAAGGGGACACAGGAGTCATGGCCTTGCTCATGTGGCAGGGTCCTGGATTCCATCTGGATGGACAGAGTAGCTGCGTATTTCTTTTCTTTCATATAATAGACCAAATCTACATGCCTGGTATGGCAGGGACAGTTTCTCACTGTTGGTCTCAAAATGTCACAAAGTAGTACTCTTGGTCACAGGGCCACTTGAACCTTGTAACTGTCCTCTACTCCAGGAACACCTGAAAGGGAGTCCCACGTATCCCGGTCCAGTTGGGCTGCTGTGGCAGAATACTACCCACTGGGCTACTTATAAGCAGCATACATTTATTTCTCCCACCTCTGGAGGCTGGACGTCCAAGGCACCAGCAGCTTTCTGGTCCATAGGCAGCTGACTTTTTGCTGTATCCTCCCAGGGAGGAAAGGGGGGAAGTCCTTCTCTATAACAAATCCCCTCCACCCTCATGACCCAGTCACCTCCCAGAGACTCCAGATGCTATCACACTGGGGACTGGGTTTCAACATGAATTTGCAGGGGACACAAACATTCAGTCTGTGGCACTGGTTTGCTTTTTTATTGCACTGAATGTCTTGTGAGAAGAGGGTAGTCATGATGTTGTCCATGCTCTGGACAGAACGGCTGGATATGGACAGAACTGTTGTTCATCTCTCCCTTTCCACTTCTTTCAGCGCCCTCCCCCCCCATTATAAAGAGCAAAGAGATACGGAGCTGTGAGGAAGCCGCGCTGATTTGTTGGGAGTCTGGGAACCTGAATCCTGTGGACTCGTACACGGTGGAACTGATCCAGGCAGAGACACCAGAAGCCTCGGGCGTAACTGAGTGAGTCCCAGGGGGCATTTGCTGGGCACGAGAGGCCTCACCCATGACACGGTGACACAGCTCAGGAAATGTATGGGGTTGGAGGGGAGGTCAGAATTTGTGACACACAGGCACGTGCATTTCAGGTTGCTTAGTTTTCGTGAGAAGTAACAGGAATGTTGTTACTGAAGGTGAACGATGAGTGAATATGAATAAATGGTTAAACCTCAAGTTTGCTTTTTAGCCCAACTGCAGTTTATCATTCATTCATTCACTCAACAAGTATTGAGGGCCCAGGTGGTGCCAGGTGGTGTGCCTGGGCTCTGGTGAATGAGACAGACAAATCCCCTGCCCTCAAGGAACTGACAGTCGAGTGGGGAAAACAGATAAAACACAAGAAAACAAAGGCATAAACCACACAGTGCTATGAAGGAGAAAGGAATGTAATGAAACAGAATGGTGGTGGAGGTGGAAACCTGCCCTGGATAAAGTATGTGTTTAAACTGAGACCTGAACACTTGGGGAGGACTGTGGCCTGAGCATAGGGGCTGCGGGGACGCCCCCAGGCAGCAGTGAGCTTGATATGCGGGAGGAACTATTTAATAGATCCACTTTGCTGGAATTGAAAAGGCAGAGGGGGAATGGCTGAGGCAGAAACAAGAGATTGGAGTTGAGTGTACAGAGAACATTGTGTCCATGGCAGAAGGCTGGCTGGGGGCTCACATTCACCGCTCGCTGGTGGAGAGCTGGAGGGCTTCACAGGCAGATGGGAGCTTGGTGACCTTGAGGGCCTGCAGGTCCTCAACTGTGAGTCTACGGCTGTGCACAGTGGAGGAAACACGGATGACCCTGGTTTGAAGGGAGGCCTGGTGCGTGGGCTCACAGTGACCGTAACTGCTTCCCCCCAGGTCTGTGGTGGGCATCCCCACCTGCGAGGCCCTCGTGCAGCTGCAGCCCCAGCAGACCTACACAATCTACGTGCGTGCCCTCAACGTGGGGGGCCCCAGCGCCAGGAGCGAGCCCGCCACAGTCCACACCACAGGTCTGTGCCCCAAGCTTCACTCTCAGGGTCCCACGTGGCCACTGTGACACACCCAGTGCTGCTGTGATTTCATTGGAAAAGACGTAAATGTTTATAGATGGGAACACGTGGCAAGTCGGGCCGGGAAGGGGTGCAGGGGTAGCCCCATTTTACAGAGGGGGAGGCTGCCTGAGCAGGCATCAGAACTCCTCAGGGGTTTTCTCCACACCCCTCAGGTGGACTTGTCTCAGTGGACCTGGGTGACACCTCACATCTCACAGAGACTGAACACCAGCCCTGGAGCAGTGTCTTTATGAAGTTCCAGGAAGAGCCATTGGCCGTGGCTCCTCTGTTGCCACTATCAGCCCAGGCATCTCCCCACCCACGGGCCCAACTGACATCTGGCTGCCCACCTCCTCCCAGTCCCCGTCTCGCCCTAGTGGGTGCCCACATCCCCACGTCCAGCTCCTCCCCCTTCTCATTTGCCATATCATGTCATAGAATTGTCACATCTCATGTCCAAGCCTTGAGTCAGCAGAGACATCACTAGAGACATTCTGTACACCTCCTGCTGTCCCAGCACTGCTCTGGCCCTGGGCTCTGAGCTGCGCTGAAGCCAGCTGGCTCTTCTTACCCTCCCCGAGCAAGTCCAGTTGCTGACTGGGTGGCCTGCAGATGAGAAGCGGAAGCAGGGAGCCTGGGCCCAGGGCTCGGGAGACAACGTCCCCTTGACTGGGATCTTTCACTGAGAGACACTGTGTCATTTTGTCCTCGTTTCCAATGCCAGGAGGAGAGGCCTGTGATTAGCTCCTACTTACATTCCTCCCATACAGATGGGAAAACAAGCTAAGTGGCCACCTAAGGTTGGGGTGTTAGCGCTGGGATCAGGACTCAGCATTTTTTCTTTCACATTGTGCCAGGGGCCTCCTCTGGTTGGCTGGCACTTCTCATTTCCTGTACTGACTTGGTGTTTTGAAATGTCAAAGTCTAGTTACTGCAGTGAAAGACTAGAGCGAAATGTACAGCCAACTCTTGATTATACAGCTGTCTCTGAATTATTTTGTTCAAATAATTTTTAAGACTGTATTTGTGAAAAACTCAGATGAACTAGAATCAGCAAAAAGCATATATTCAAAGTGGTCCTTGTTTGGGATGAGAGAGCAGTCAGTGCAGGCCACACGTGTGTCAGCTGCAAGGTGGGAATCGGCTGCTTCTCACCAGTCAGCTCAGATGGCAAATGACATTTCCAGCAGCATCAGATTGTGAAAATAACTGCGAACAGCTTGATGGTGACGTTTGAACTAGAGCTTGAGACAACAAGAAGTGACAGAGTGGGAACTTAAGAAACGAATTTGGCCAAGAGACAGTAATGGAGAATGGGTTTGTTATATTCCTAAACAATGGATAATTTTACTAAATAATCTTTTATTACATTTATCCTTACCACTTTTTGATGAGCTTTGAACCATGATTTTGGGATGGCTGTAATCTCCTTCCTTCTCCTCCACTGCCCTAGTTGGAAGTTGAATGTTGAACTTTGCTAACCTTTGACAAATTGATCATGAAGTCCCTCAGTTCCTATTTCCCTGTAGGTTAGAAATGCCTGTCCACGTGCAGGCATTGACAGCCTCTATAATCAGACAGCTTGGGGTTCAAATTGGAGTTCTGGCATCTGCCAGCTCATTTTTTACCCACCCTTGCCTCAGTTTTCATATCTACAAATGGAAATAACACCCATTTCTAAGAGTAATTATGAGCATTGAACGAGGAAAAAGATGTCATGTGCTTAGCTCCGTACTAGGCACACAGTCACTGCCCCATGCATATGTGTTCAGTGCCATCCCTGGTAACAAGCGTTATTACTAGGCGAGGTCCAGGCTGACGCGCGTTACGCAGGCAGCTAAGGCGGCGACGTGCAGTGCTCGCTGTGCCCGCGTGGCAGCGATGCTGAGTAAGCAGAGGAGTGACTGGCCATGGATCTCTGGGTTTGCTCCCCTGCAGGCAGCTACTTCCGCCTGAACCAGCACACCTGCCATCCCTGGCTGACCATTTCTGAAGATGGGCTGACAGCTGTACGAAGTGAGAGGAAAACCTCCGCAAGGGAGCCGCCCCCCAGAAGCACCCGCTTTTCCAGGTAGATAGTGTACCCACCACTCTATAGAACATTCTGTGAACCTCCCTAATACATAATTGTTGTTTGGGTAAAATTGGGTTAGGACAGATGAGGCTTGAAGGAGGAAGGAAGACCCAGAAATGAGTTGAGGGGATAGGGGCCTGGTTTAGGAGAGGCTGGTGCCAGCAGAAGAGACATGTGGCCTCTGAGGTCCAGCCCCGGGCTGCCTGAGCTGGAGGAGTCAGACCAGGAAGCCATGGCGTGAGGATCAGTGTCAGGCTGTGGGACAAAGAAACAAGGACCCTAGTCTCCCAGTGCTTACTGGCCCGATGCACTTTTTCTCACATGGGAAACTTTATTTAAAAACTCCTGATGAAGGGCCGGCCGAGTGGCGCATTGGTTAAGAGCTGGCTTGGGACTCCAGAGGGCCCAGGTTCGGATCCCACATATGAGGGCCAGTGACACTGCCCTCTACAGCTAAGATGCTGAACAATAGCTCAGCCTGGAGTTGGGCTGCCCTGAGTCGCTGGCAACGGCGTATGCTGCAGTCCCTGCTGCAGTGGGTTGCCATGGCCTACCATGTAGCCAGCAGCCTCCATGAGCCGCCGTCCAGAGGCCAGCGACTGATCTGCCTCGCCCGGGAAGAACGCAGTGTTAGTGCCAGCTTGGGCCAGTGAAGCGACGTCCTCCACTAGACTAAAGAACAAAACAACAGCAACTTGTCTGTTCCCCTCCCCCAATTACCCAATAAAATCTTAAAGAAAAAAAAAAAGTCCTGATGAAGAACTGGCGATGGAGTGAGCCCATGGGAAGTTGTTGGGGAAAATGGTGATTGTGCTGGTGCAGGACCTGAGGGGGGCAGTCCATCAAAGATGGCTCCATCTAGATCTGGGGCTATTTCCAGCCTTGTACTTGGTTAATGTTGAAATGACTTATTTATACCTTACTTCTTTCCAAAGACTGAAGGAAGATTTAAAATAAGGGGCAAATACACACCACTGAAATAGAAAACTCAAGGCATGGAAGAAAATGAAGGACACAGATAGGTTAACTTCAAGGCCTAATTTCATTTCCATGATTAAACATTAAACATGGCTCTCAGCTTCCTGGTAGTCAGGACAAAAAGAAGTCTTGGGTTGATTCCAGAGCCAGGAGGATGTTCTCAGGGAGAAAGGGGACTCACCCATGGGGGCCGGAAGAGCCTCTGATGGAAAACTGTGTAGCCTCCTGCCAGGGTCCTAGACTGTCCCCGCAGCTGGCTTTTCCTGACACTGGCTGCCTGCGGCCTTGTGCTGCGTGTGTTAAGCACCTACTATACGTGCAAAGCACCTACCACAGTGGAAAAGAACTTCATCCTTCCCCACCACTACCTGTTCAGCCCAGGGTTGGGGGCATGTAGAGGAGGAAGAAACAGTAGAGTTCTTACCTGGGTTAAAAAACAAAATTCAGCTGAGCTCTTACTGGCTTGATTCAACAATTCATGAAGTGGGCAGCACCCGTGTGACAGACAGAAAGGAGCTGTACAGAATGAAAGACTCTGCTTCCTTGGGTGCTGAGTTCTGTGAGATTTCAACCCCTTTCCTTTTTTTATATAAACAAGTGAACCAAATCTTTATTTTTGTTACTAAGAAGCCCAATCCTTTTCAAAAGCGCACAGACCCTGTTCTGCTGGTTTGTCTCCTCCTCTTCCAGTACCGGCAGGCAGTGCAGCAACTTTCTATCTTCAGTGTCAGGTGAGCTTGGAGAGAGGAGGGTGTGTGCTTCACAAGTGAGGCGCTCACAGCACCCACCGCCCTGCAGAGACCAGCTACTAACCCCCCCCCAAGTTGGCATCACGCACCTGCACAGCCAGGCTTCGGTTACCCCAAGTCACATGTGTTTCTACTTTCTCAAACCAGGTGTGTCGCTGTTATGGGGACTCTTATTCCAGTCCGTGGGCGCCATTACTGGGAGGTGGAAGTCGACGAGCGCTTGGACTACACAGTGGGTGTGTCCTTCGAAGATGTCCCTAAACAGGAGGACCTGGGGACAAACAGCCTGTCCTGGTGCATGAGGCACACATGGGCGTCACCAAGGTAAAGTACAGTCTGGATACCCAAGACCAAAATCCGCTTTTCAAAGAAGAGAGGGAGGTGTTTTCACTAGCAAAATCTAAGGCTACCATATGTGTTAGAAAATTTCTAAGGTATTTCAGGACTCATTTCCAGCCCCCTTCCCTGAGGCCCAGGTGAAAAGGAAAAGAACAGCTTCAGGGACTTTTCTTTCAGATGAAAACAGCTGACATTCATGGAGACCGTTCTAAACTCTTACACGTACTGTCTCGTTAACTTCTCACAAGTGTATTGTCCCCTTTTCAAAATAAGCTATGCCTCACAGCAGTTAGGTAATCACCCAACACGGATCAAAGTTGGATTCAAACCCAGGCATTCTGGCTCCAGAGACAGCTAAGCCAATGGTCTTTCCTCTGTGCTCAGCGTCAGTTATGAAATGCATTGTTTGGTCGGAAGCCCTGATTTCTTCTTTTTTAGTAAACTCAGGCAGAGGCTTCATGGGTATGGCTGACTCTGCTCCGCTTCTGCTCACCACTGTCCTCTACACACAGCGTAGGTCCACAAAGCAGGGAAAATCCCGGGAGGCCCAGGCCAAAAGACATTTTCAGACTTAGAAGGCCATGGTTGCAACCTCCCTTCATCTCAAAAATTGCCCAGGAAATTCACCACACCGCTTTCCCAACACCCGTCCTGGGCTGCCTCTGACCCTCATTGGCTTGTAAGTCCTGCTAACGTCCCATCCGGTGCTGTGCCCATGAGCCTCCATCGTGGCTGGTTAAACATTATTCATCATGCGCAGCTGCAAGTGGGAAGACTAGCTTTCCCCTGTAAGACATTCGGACTATAGTGGACCCCACTGAACCTAAGACCCAGTTTGGGGAATGCAAGAAATACTGTGCCCTAGAAATCAGTCTCCCCTCCTAGAAAGGTAAGAACAAGGGGCAGAGCAACACTGGGGGAGCATAAAGGGAGTCTGTGTAGTGGGAGGGGTGAGAGGGTTGTAGACAGAAGAGAGGTGGGGACATGAGATAGAATGAAACAGGAAGGGCAAAAAGCCGGGCACTAGAGCACAAGTTTCTTTCAGCCTCATCTTGGAAAGATGTGCGAGTATGAGACACAGTGGACGATGAGGGTAAGGTATCCTAGCTGATTTGTACTTCTTAGTTCATAGTCCTAAACTAGTAGTGGTTAAGGAAAGGCTCATTTAGCTCCTAGTGACTGCTTAGTTAAGAAGCCAAGGGGAAGATGGGTGAGCTGGGATGGAGACAGGTCAGCTGGCTCTGACACACTTAGATTGTATTCTAAGTGTCCGACCCTGTCGTGTGGACCAACACGCCGACACAGAGCTCTTCAGACGTGTGGTAGCAGGTCAGGAAATCGCTGTGGCTGGTTTCGGTTTCAGCCATTTTCCAAAGCACACAGACACAGTGTGATGAAAGGGTGCTGGAGCTATAGGACCCTGAATGGTTACAGGCCCGGGATGCCCTGCTCAGTTTGCAAGGCTCAAAATTGGGTGCTTAGGGCACTTGTACAGATTGTACCAAAAGGCGCATTGTATCACAGGAAAGACCATGAGGCTCCCTGTTTCAAATCTATTACAAAGGATTTACTCATTTGAAGTCCAGAATTTTAAAACGTGCTATTTCTATACAAATGTTGATGCAATGAGTTTATATTATATGTAACTTTCTTAGTTTAAGAGGTTGAACAAAGTTTAAAAGTGTAAGTTTCTTAGGACAAATTTTAGAAGAGAGATATATAGTTTTAGAAACAGCCTGTTACTTTGGTAGGCATTTAATAACAATCATAGGAGTATTTGAATAAAATTAATATAGAATGTTCTGTAAATAGCCCATCTACAGGATTTCTGAAGATTTGTTATATCAACATTTTTCAGGCATAAGTATGAATTTCTACACAACAAGATGACTCCAGATATAAGAATAACGGTTTCCCCAAGGAAGATTGGCATTCTGTTAGACTATGAAAACTCAAAATTGTCATTTTTCAACGTGGACATTTCTCAGCATCTATACACATTTACTTGTCAGCTTCCCCAATTTGTGCATCCCTGTTTTTCTTTGGAGAAGCCTGGGTGTCTAAAGATACACAATGGCATTTCAATGCCAAAGCACGTCACTTTCTACTAGACCATCCTGAGCCGGCTCCCCATCTGTCTTCTGTACCTACTCCTCTGTTACCCACTCACGCCTCAGCTGCTGACCTCGGGATTCAGGCCCCCAGCACCACTTAGGGCTCGTGTTACCTGGCAGACGGATGTGCTGGCACTCGCTTCACCTGACCTGGGTTCTAGTACCTGTGTGACGCTGTTATTACCAGGCCCGGCTGTAAAGTGAGGGTTCAGACTAAATGATCTCGAAGGTCTTTCATGTTGTCCAGTTGTATTAGTCCGTTTGTATATATGCCAAGTAACTGAGTCTCCAAGGCCTCCAGAGCTGGGGGGATGGAGGGGGAGGAAGGCGAGAGGAGATACGTGTCAGTGGCTGCAGCAGCCCCGCACCCACGTGATGTTTCATTCGTCAGCCAGGAACAGACGTGAGAAGGCGGGAGACTGTCCCAGAAAACAAGGGAAGCCACGTGCCCTTCTCCTGCCCTGGTTTCCCAGTAGGCAGCAGCACAGTGTACTCTTTATAGCACCCTGTTCCTCCTGCACAGTACTTACCCCCACTCTCATTTTGAAATGACCTCTGTGCCTAATTCCATGAAGGCAGGGACAGTGTCTGTCTCGTTCATCACTCCACCCCCAAAGGCTACCTGCCACATAAAGGTGCACACTGAGTACGTGTTGAATCAGTCTCTTCTTTCTCCGGCCTCTGCTCTCCTTGGGATGCACGGCAGGGCTCTTCCAAAACTAGAGCAGAGGATCTATGGCCAGAGAACTTGGAGGGCAGGCTGTGCAAAGGAGGGCGTCTGTGGCTTGATGGCAGGATTGGGGCAAGTGGAACACTTCTGATACCACACACTTCGTGTCCCAGAGAAGCCTACACATAAATGTGGTACTTTCACTGTATGTACTGGGAGGGTGGGGGGAGGGTAGGTTGGGGGAGTGGGGAATAGAAAACATTAGTTGTAACTGATTCTAGGAATGTCCTGTAAAGAACCAGATTTGAAATCAAAACCTAGGTTTGACTGCTACTTTGCCTTATAACCCTAGAAAAGTCACTTTATCTTCCAGAGCTTCTGTTTCCCTTGAAACAGAGAGAAAAAGAATATGTTATCTCATGGGATGGGGAGATTTAATGACAAACATGAGGGTGCAGAGCAGTGTCTGGCATGTAGCAAATACACAGTAATTTCTTAAAAGAAGCCATCAGCCACCAAGTGCACAGCTGAGCCTGGTGGGAGAGGTGCTCTCTAGCCAGTGGCTTTTGGGCATCCTGCCTCACCGCTCTCAGGCCATTCTGGGACCTCGTTGCCCAGCTCCGTTGGCTGCATTCCTGGTTCCCCAGTTCAAGTTTCTAGTTGCCACCTGAAGCTCTGCACACACGGCATTTTCAAGCTTATGAGTCAAGATGCAGAATAAATTACTTCATTTGTGAAGCAATCCTCAGAGACAACTTAGTATCATGCCCCATGGATGCCTCTCTTAACAGACACACCCCTCATCTTAAGGTTTTGTGTTAGCTGAGAAACCTTTCACTTTAAAACTGCATGTTTTCCAGCACACTCAAAAATCTGATAAAATGAACACCTCCCATCTCCTGTCTCAAAACTGTCTCTTGGTATAAATGGCAGCTCAGATTCCTGAATTGACAACTCACCTTGACAATCTTACGAGTACAGCTCATTACACACACACACACCCAGATACATGCCTGCCCTGCCAAGCTGTATCCCTACTCTGAAACAAGGAAGGTACCGCCGATGTAAGCACAGAGATGCTTCAAGTTATAAACAACTAGAATATACCTGTGTGTATGTTCAAAACTGTTCTCAGCCACTGCAAAGAAACTACAGAGTAAGAAGTAGGGTATCACAGATAAGGCAGGTTTGAATTCAGGGTTCTAATATAATAGGGTTTATGGAGTACTTCACATGTAATATGAACATGGATAAAAACTTGACACCTAGAAGGTTTGGGTAAAATTTTATTTGACCAACAGAAAACCATCTAGAAGTAGCTTAGACATTTAAAATCCACTTAATTTAAGCAAGGCAGATGATTAACTTCAAGCATCACAATTATTCAGCATAAAGAACTTTTGTTTAAACTGTTTCTCATCTCCTACGAGAAGAAAAAATAAGTGTAGAACAGAACCAAACAAAACTTTTTCCAGTTCCTTAAAATACCATAAATAATCTGCTGAAACTAAACTTCAACAAGGGGCAGAATTTACCTCAAGGCCATGTCCACCCGCAACCTGCTGATAAATCTGTTAAAAAACAAAACAAAAAACGCTTTTTAAAGTCAGACCATTGTAGCCACAGTCTCTGACACTGGACAGTTAAAATACATCAAGTTCTGTTCTTTTCTCAGCTTTACCTACATCTCTTATAACTCTTGAGCACTTATTGGCATGAGCTTTGGGTTCCGCCAACAAAGGGGAAAGATGTAAGCCCACAATGTCGGTGTAAACTAACATGGGTTTAGTGATTCAGAATACTCAGGATTTAAGGCACTTTGATTAGATGGGATTGTAAAATTGATTAGACTTGGGACATAAAATGACAGTTTTTGGTAAAATTAAACTGCCTTTTATTTGGGAAAGTGTATGTTTAATAATTGGCTTCCTGCTAGTTCAAACAATGATATGCAATCACTTGTACCATCCAATAAGATATTTCTGAAGCATCTGCTTGGTCATCACGTAAGCAGAGCAACTGCATAGGCTGTGAGGCCTTTTTCTTAATACTTCTCATCCTCCAAAATGTGTTAAAATCCTGATTTTACATGGCTCACACACTGGCAGCTGCTCTCAGCACAATTCACCATGATGTGGCATTCTGTAAATGAGACTACAGGGGTTTCCTACAGCGGGGAGATGTAGCTACCAGAAAACTCCCTGGACCCTCTGAAGACTGTACCCCAGGAAAGTTCCTCCTCTCCTAAACAGCTTCTCCCACTTCTAATCACCTTCCTATCTGTGACTACAGGAAGATTCTCATGGGTTCACATTCTTTCTCCACCCTTCCTAATCTGTAAATGTACTAGTGTTATCTTTTATAGTAAGACAATGGAAAGTGTATAGTTGCTGTTGGTAGATAAGTAGGTCTTGAATTTGTTTTTCAAACAAGACCTGTTCTATCTACCTTTTCATTTAGGAGGCTACAAGCCGAGTCAGCTTGACTTCAAGGACTCAATTTTCTAGTCTCCAGAACATGACCGAGTTTAGCTTTTAAAGCACTGTCCTAGCATGGTAAGGTACTAAGGGAATAACTTATTATATATTATGTTCAGACTTTAAGAGATTTGACTCTTACATGTGCTTGCTTCACTGCAATCAATGATTAACAGATCTAAATTCAAGATCAGAGTTTGGGAAAGAAGATCCCAGCCGGTCAGCATCTTTTCTTTGTAGTATGAACTTGGATTCTAATCTTGCTGACCCCATGCCCATTCCTAAGCTTATGTGTAGGTCTCCTGTTTGAAAGGAGATGCTGTTCAATTCAAATAGACTGGATTGGAGACAAGAATATAATCTATTCACTGGGAAAGCACCCACCCAACAAAATAGAGGTTTCCTTGCTGTTCACTTTAACAAAGCAGGAACTTAGGTTTTTGTTTTTTGGGTTTTTTTTGGTTTTTTAAAAGATTATATTGGGGAATTGGAAGACGGGAACAGACAAGTTGCTGTCCTTTTGTTCTTCAGTCTAGTTGTGGAGGATGTCACTTCACTGGCCCATGTTGGTATTATCATTGTGCTCTTCCTGGGTGAGGCCGTCGCTCACTGGCCATTGGATGACCACTCATGGCGGCTCACGAAGCGCACACCAGCTGCCGGCCAGCCCCACTGTAACCTATGCCGTTGCCAGCGACTCACAGCAGCCCAGCTCCAGGTCGAGCTGTTGTTCATCATCTTAGTTGTAAAGGACGCAGCATCACTGGCCCTCATGTGGGATATGAACCGGGGCCCTGCTGCTCAGAGCTGGCGTCCCAAGCCAACTCAACCAACGCACCACTCGGCCAACCTAGGAACTTAGTTTTTAGAGACAGATTTACTGAGTGTATACAGTACTTCTTAGTAAGTCCATCCTACTACTCTGCCACTCAGATTCTTACCCTCTGACTTCCTTTCATATCCCATCCAGTTAAGGTGGAGAGGGGCAGGGAGAGAAGGAAAACAAGAGAAGTATTATCCAAAATTAAGGATAAAGCTCTGGAGAAAGGTATAAGATACCTGACACTGTCTTATGTACAATTTCCAGTTTAGAAACCAGCCACAGATCCCTAGGCATCTGGAATGGACTTCCCCTTCCTTGTCCACCTAATGCCTGTATAGCTCAAAAGTCACTTCTTAGAAGCACCACCTAATTCCTCCCTCTCCCAGGCTGAGTTAAATGCTACACACTCACCTCTTTTAGAATACTTAAGTGCACACATGGCAGCCATCGACCTGCGTCTACTTCACTTGACCATAAGCAAATCACAGGTAGGAATTGTGCCTTCATAGTTTCTGAATGAGCAGAACACAAAACAAAAGGGTTCTGCTTTCAAAGAGCTCATATACCTGAAAAGACAAAAGAGACATCAAATTGTCTTCCAAATGAAAAAGTAAAGCCACTTCATTAGAAAGCAAAACAGCTTTCAAATTTGTGAGGGGGAGGAGGTTAAAAACAGTAGAATGATTGTCAACCTCTTTTCTATTCCAGTACACCTGAGGGATATCCATTTGTGTTCCTTGTGCCTGGAATGATACAGGTCCTAGAAATACGAGATTGTGCTTATTGTTGCATTTTTAAGGTAATACTTCTCATGTCACAATCTTTGCAACATCTGTCTATATCTTCTAAAATTTCTTTGAAAACATCTACAGAGAGCAGTTGTTTTTAAAGTGTGGTCCTTGTGGGGGTCCCTGAGATCCTTTCAGAGGGTCGGTCAGGTCAAAACTATTTTCATAATAAGACACTATTTGCCCTTTTCACTTATTTCACGAGTGTACACCACAGTTTAACCAGAGGCTACATAACATGTGAGGACATTCACCACTCTGACAACTAATGGAGTTTGTGCTTATATATTCGTGTTTAAAAACATTTGTTTTTATTTCTAACACTAAAAAAAACTGATATACATATTGGGTTGTCGGAAAAGTCACGACGCATTTTTGCAACGAAAAACATAGAAAAATATGTCATGGCTTTTCCGACAACCTAATATATATCCCACATAATAAAAGCTCTTTGGAATCCTCAATGATTTTTATGGGGGTCCTCAGACCAAAAAGTTGTAAAATCATTTCTATATTCATGGCTTCCTTACAATAAAAATCTAGTTGGATGAGTTCCTCAGTAGTGTGATTTCCCCTATATGATGCTAACAGTTTTTCAGTATTTGCTAATGAATAGGTTGCTTTGTGGACCTCTAAGGCTTGCTCACTACCCTACAGGGCATTTCCACTTAATAAAGATGATGGCGATAATACACAATACATTTAAACAGCACACGTACCAAATGCGACATTCCTTAAGAAGGCAGCTGAGATCTGTCTACAGTGCATTGTACAGCATCTCACCTGGACTTGTGGGGATCTTAGAAGTTCTTTATAGCTGGTTTCTCATTCAGATGTTGTGGGTAAATATCTCCACAGGGTATTACAGCAAATATTCATTGAGCTCAGATGACAGCTAGCTATTAAGTCCTCCAGGGTGAACACATATCTATGAACCCCAGACCTTTGTGTGTAAAGCTGTGGAACAGGTAATAAAAGTTCCATCTTCACATTGTGTTACTCCATATACATTGCTGAACAGGAAAAAAACAGAAGTGACATGACTCATCCCCGTCTACAGAGTATCTAAAATGTAGATAAAGGCCACATTCTAACCCTGACACATACTGACTTTGCCTTTGATGTATTCCCCATCCTCGTCACTATTCATCACTCCCCACAAAAGACAAATTGTTGATCAAGCCAGAGAGCCAAGCCAGAACCAGGTGAAGGAAAGAGTTCAGAGCTGGAAATGAAGAAATAACGTTTCTAGTCCCGGCTCGGTAACCAACCAGCTTGGTAACTTCCAGCCTGTCTCCTCTCACGATGCTTCAGTTTAAACTGAACGCAGGGGGATGACTTCGGTGGCTCTGTTCTGCCTCAGACACCAAGTGACTTGGCTGGCAGATTCAGGAAGCTTAAAAACCTACCAACTGGGTGTGTGTGTGTGTGTGTGTGTGTGTGTTTCCAAATTAATGTAACAGGTGCTGCTGCCTCAAGCAGCGCACGCCAATTCAGAATGCCTGGATACGTCCAGGCCCTCACGTTGTTATATTACGCGACAACAGGGTATCGCCTGGGTGAAACTCACTGAATTTTTTTTTTCTTAAACCGTAATCTGAGTGCGTATTTCTCCCTTCCACACTTATCCCCATCGCCGCTCCGTGAGCATCCAAGTTCGTTTTGCAGACAAGGTCAAGAAAGCTGAGCACAAGGAGTTAGGATGAGCCCGAGGTCGCTGGAGGCGCTGACCACCACCCTCCTCCGCCCCGACAGAGACACCGACCCTCACCCGCTGCTCCGGTTCTCCGCCGCACCCCTGAAGCCCGACACGCCAGCCTGCTTTCCTCCTAGGGCGCTGCTGTCACCCGCCTCGCCGGTGGCCAGAGGTAGTCCTCCCTCTACACGACAGACGCAGCCACGCAGGAACCGATCTCAGTCCCATGTCTCGCCTCTTTCCGGCGGAACGGAGCCCCTTCCGGTTTCCGGGACGTGAGGGGGAAGTCCCGCCTCGGCGCAACAGTGACGTAGGGAACGCGTCGAGGCGCCGCGCGCAAGTTCAGAAACGATGAGGCGAGTGGCGCTGCGTCTGAGGGGAGCCAGTGGCCTCGTGGGGTTCGAACCGAGGGACCAGGGACAGCGGGACTGGAGGTCACTGTTGTTGGGTGCGGAGAGTGGGGAGAGGGCCGGGAGCCCCTCAGCGGGGCCTGGGAGACGCCCATCCCCTCAGACACTCCCTCCTTCCCCGCAGGCGTTCCCCCAGACAGATGCCCTTGTTTCTTGCTTGGCCGCCCCTGCCACTTGCTGTATTTAGTTTCCTCCGGTCTTTTGTTTACCTTCGTGACGCCGCGTCTTGCCGCGATAATGGCCACCCGTTCCTGCTAGGCTGTCCGTCCTGTCAGCAGGAGCTGGGAAGCGCCGGGTGGTGCTTGCCCACCGCCGGAAGCTCACGCGTTCGTTTGCCAAAGGGGAGGGACACAGCTCTCCCCTCGAGCGTGGACAAGGCCCTGTGGGGCTAGGGAGAGATTTTGGCAGTTTGTAATCGTCATTTAGTTTCCTAAGGCTGCCATGAGGAAGTACCACAAATTGGGTGGCTGAAACAACAGGTATTGATTGCCCCGCAGGTCTGGAGGCTAGAAACCCGACATGAAGTTGTCAGCAGGACCATGCTTCTTCTGAAACTGGAGTAAACCCCTTCCTCGCCCTTTCCTAGTGTTCTGGCGTTCTTTGGCCCGCAGCTGCTTCACACCAGCCTTTTTTTTTTAAGATTTTTATTGGGGAGTTAGGGATGGGAACAGCGCTGGGGAATTGGGGGGATGGGAACAGACAAGTTGCTGTCCTTTTGTTCTTCAGTCTAGTTGTGGAGGACATTGCGTCACTGGCCCAAGTTGGCACCATCATTGCGCTCTTCCCGGGCGAGGCAGATCAGTCGCCGGCTTCTGGACGGCCGCTCACACTGGCTGCTGGCTACACACGGTAGCTGCTGGCTGCTGGCTACACACGGTAGCCCATGGCAACCCACTGCCACAGGGGCTGCAGCCTCCGTGCTGTCGCCGGTGACTCATGGCAGCCCAGCTCCAGGTTGAGCTGTTGTTCAGCATCTTAGCTGTGGAGGGCAGTGTCACTGGCCCTCATTTGTGGGATCCGAACCGGGCCCTCTGGCATCCCAAGCCAGCTCTTAACCAACGCGCCACTCAGCCGACCCGCGCCAGCCTCTTTTAACTCTGTTCTCTTGGCGTTCCCCATGCGCGTCTCCATCTCTGTGTCTCTTCTCTTAAAAAGGACACCAGTCCTCTTGGATAAAGGGCCCCACTCTTGCCTAGTATGAGTGGGTCTTAACTGATTACATCTGCAAGGACCCCTATCTCCAGATAAAGTCACACACTGAGGTTCCAAGAAGGACACGCATTTCGGGGGTGACACTGGCCAACCCAGTAGTACAGCTGTCAAGCCAGCAGCTGACAGACAGCTGTCGGACAAGTGAATTCAAGGAGTTCAACTGAACCCGAGAAGTTTTCATGGACATTTGGGCTATTCCCTTGAAAGTGGGTAGGATTTGAATGTGCCGTCGTAGCATTCTAGGCAAACAAATATTACACACAAGGAAGCGTGGGTTGAAATATGAAATAGTTTAAAGCAGGAAAGAGCTTGAGGACAGGCTGGAAAGCTTGGAGTCTATATAAAATGAGGACTAAATCAGTGTTTGGGCAGTGGAGTTGTGCTTTCAAGGTTCATTAGCAGCTTGAGCCAAACCTATTTTGTGTTACTTATTTCAGGTTAAGACATCTTAAATCCCATTTTCTGACCGTGTCCTGCGCTTTTTCATCCTGGTGTCTCTGCTCATGCTGTCCCCTATTCCTAGGATGTTGCCATCAAGCTGCACAATTTTCACTTGTCAATTTTTCTATCATGGAAATTGCACTGTAGCATGGAATGGCGGGGGAGAGTTGTACAATTAGTTTTATAACATTCGCATCCCTTTAATACCAAAATCTGACCAAAAAAATAGCAGAAGAAAAAACTAGACACCAAACTCACATAGATACAAGGCTTAAAAATAAAATATTCAAATTTAATCCTGCATGCCATCTGAAATAAGAGAGCATTGATCCCAGCAATGATTTAACATTAGAAAACCTGTTGGTATAAATCACTGTATTAATAATGGTTTAGAGGTTTAAAACTATATGATCATCTCAACTGATAAAATGTTTTCTGAAAAAAATCAGTATCTACTTTGATTTAAAAGAAAATGCTTTTCACAAAATGGGAATAGATAAATAGCAACTTGATAAAAGGCACTTAGCAAAAATCTCTAGTAAACTCCATACTTAATGATAAAACGTTAGAAACATTTCCACTGAAGTCAGGAAAAAATGGAATACTCATTTTCACTGCTAATATTCAACATAATGCTAGGTTTTCTAGCCAATGCAATAAAACAAAAAGACAAAAATATTAGGAAAGGAAGTGAAAATATTTTCAGATGATGAGGTTTTCTAGAAAATGCAAGAGAATGAAATGACAATTAGAACTAATTAGATGGTTCTGAAAGGTGGCTAAATAAATTAACATAAAAAATTAAATGTTTTTTGTATCCCAGTAATAAAATAGAAAAAAATATGATTAACCTAAACAAAAGATGTACAACACTTATGGGAAATATGAAATATTATTAAAAGACATTAAAAACTCAAGTAAGTGTAGATTTCATGTTCCAGGATGGGAAAATACAGTGTTTTATGGATAGCATTTTATCACAGATTAATAAAAAGTTTTGATATGGTGCCTATTAAAATACTAATAGCATCTCAAAATCATTTGGTCAAAGTATGTTATTTTGATACATTTCTTGGGTGCCATTTATTGATATTCTATTTAGAATGTTTATATCTCTTATGAGTGAGATTGGTATGTAGGGTTTTGGAGGGGGGTACTATGTTAATCAGATGTTGGTATTTAAAAGTATACTAGATCCCTTAAGTTAGGGAGTATTTCATATTTTTCTGTGGTCTGAAATAATTTAACTTTACAAACATCTGATCTTTTAAAGCTGAATAGAGAACTCAATTGTGAAACTGTATTATATAATATGGTATTATATGGTGGACGGGGTATTTGGGTACCCTGGGGAGGCCCGTGAGGGGAGAAGAGCCGGTTCAGAGAGCAGGCACAAGCGGCAGGGCTGGCACCAGCAGGTGTGGGGTAGGGACTGAACACCAGGAGGAGGGAAGAGAGGGTGGGTGAGGGCACCAGTTACCCACCCCAGACCCCAGACCTCACAGTCTCTGTCTGTCACCTGCCCCCAAAGCTGCCAGGAGCGGGAAGTGCTGCCATCAGACTGGCCTAGCCGTTAATGCTCAGAACGGGGCCCAGGGCTTCCTGCTTGGCTGCTATGTCTGCCTCAGGGGTGCACCGCTTGTCCTCCCAGCTCTGGCCACAGAAGGAGAGCACCTAGCAGGGGGCGGAGCATGGCCACTGCAAGGTGAGCTGCTTGGGCAGGGCCTGGGATTCAGGTAGGATCACTGTGGGAAGAGAGGGGTTGACCAAAGGCTTTGTAAAGGAAGCAAGGACCAGAGCTGGGTGTGCAGGGGGCCTGCCTTGCCCCAGCAGGGAGCCCTGACCCTTGTACTGGCTGAACGTGGACGGCTGGGAGTACTGACCCGAAAACCTTGCCGCTCACAGAGGAACCCTTTGTCCAGGACTAGACTGAAGGGGAACGGGAGTGGCTGGGAATTCAGGTCAGACCACAGCCACAGAACCAAGGGCTGCCATGATAGCCCCACAAGGCCTGAGCTCAGGGACGAGACCCCACTGGGCTGAGGTCCTGCAGGGGCCTTTGGGGGAAGGACAGGGCCCTGGGCCCCAGAGAAACTGCCTGCCAGCCCCACACCCAGTGTCAGGGCCACCTCACCACTCTGTGTTCTGGAAAGCTCAGGGCGAGAGGAGCACGCCTGGGCCCCCAGGAGCAAGCCGTGATAGGGTGGGCAGCATTGTCAGACAGTGTGATCTCTGGGCTCTTGCTCACAGCGCCAGGGCATTGCTCCTTTTCCTGGCTTGACTCAATGAAATTCAAGGGGCAGGGGTGGCTGTTTCTCTGGGTCAGAAGGGTACAGGGGGTCAGTACCTCCAGGTGCTGGGGTCTTAGGACGGGGCGCGCGCAGGAGAGGCAGTGCTGTACAGTGGTTAAGGTCATGGGCACTGGAGCCAGACTGGACTAGAATTCTGGTTCCTCCACTTACGAGTTTGTAACCTTGGCAACCTCTCCTAGCCTCAGTTTTCCCATCTGTAAAATGGGAAAGACAATAACAGTCTTTTTCATGACGTTGTTAGGGTTACATTGGGGTGTAGCACAGTTTCTGGCAATAAATGTCATTATGGATGGAGTACTACATGTGAACCCAGATTCCTTATCTGAAGAGGCATCTTCTCACCTAGACCCTGCTCGAAGTCCAGGGGCCCAACTGATGAGGGGCAGAGTGCCTCATCACCCCACCCTGCTGGGGACCTTTCCAGCTGGGTGATTTCCTGAGAGTCTGGGGCAGGGGTCACAGGGAGGCAGCCAGCCTCTGAGGGCCTATTGTTCTCTGAGCTGAGAAAGATGCCTTCTCTCCACCTCCTCCCCTGACGCCCAACTCTGCACGCTGGGGAGCACACCAAAGACAAATAAACCCTTCCCGTCTCTCCTTGTCCAGCTCACAAAGAGCTCTCAGTGCCTCACAAAGATCCTGCAACGCCCAGGCTTTTGAGCTTACTGTCCCCTGTTCACAGATGAGGAAGTTGAGGCCCAAAGGGAAGAAGTGGCTTATTTGGTGTCCCATACAGAAAAGTGACACGGCCGGAACTAGATCCCCAGTCCTGTGTCCAGTGTTGTAACAGACTCATCGGCATCTCACACAGACAGAGAGCCCCACACGCAGAGGGCACGACCTGAGGGGAGAGGCAGGCGGGGCAGGAGCCTGGACCCTCACTCCTCAGCAACCAGGTGGTGACCGCTGGGCTTTATTTCCTCCCTAGATGAGCTTCACATCCCAGGTAACTAGAGCAGAAGTCCTCAGCTCGTCATCTCCCCAGGTAGGGTGTCTGCTGCCCCAACAGGCCAGGAGATCGGGGACTGCTGCTTGGCCCAGTAGGTACGGGGGAAGAGGGAAGCTGGAACCAACGTGCTCCCCCTACCTAGTGGATTGTAGGAGAGAGTGACTAAAGACCAAAGGACTGCACAGGACTGGGTCCTCCCTGTGGTCTCCTGATGTCAAGGGAGATGGGAGGGGGGGAGCCTGAGCCTAGGATGACCCAACGTCCAGGTTTTTCTGGGCTCCCAGAATGTGGGTCTTTCAATTTTAAAACCTGGAAGGTCCCAGGCAAGCGGGTGAGTTGGTCACCTGAGTCTGGGAAAAAGTCTCGCCCAGTAGTGCGTGGAGGATACCATGGACTGGGGCCAGAGGGAAAGGGAACGTCAGGGGTGGGAGAGACACAGTGGTTGGCGCTCTCCAGCATTGGCTTGGGCAGCCCCACTCCTCATTTCTATATGGGTCCTTCTGACCCAAGTCAAATCGGCTGGAGCCAACCCACTTCCTTCCAACAAAGATACCCAGAGATCTGGGGGTGATGGGTCACGTCCTTCTCCGCTCCTCTGCCAGCCCAGGAGAACTCATGCCCAGCAGGCCCTACTGTTACCCCCTTTCCCAGGCTCTCTGAGACCAAAGGTCAGGTACAGCCCAGAGTGAGGCCATCTTCCCAAGTCCCAGAAGCTCTCTGTTCCCAGTAAAGACAGGAGAAACCTGAACTAAACGCATTTCCCACTTCCCTTGTAGAGGAAGAGGCAGTAGGAGAGGTGACTAATGTTTAGTACAAAGGGCACAAGCCAGTGGTGCAGGCACACAGTAAGCCGTGTGTACTCCGGCAAGCTCTGTGAGCCTCAGTTTCCTTGTCCCAAAAATGGGCCCACTGTGCCCATCAAATGGTTTGTATTCAGGATCAAATGAGCAGCTGCTCAATAGGCATTTGTTGGAGGGGTCTTTCTCCACTCACACTTGGGAGGAGGTGCCAGTCCTGGGTCCAGATCTCATTCCGGTTTCTCTGTTTCTCCAGATCTTTTACTCAACCCAGTTTCCAGCTGACACAGTCCACGGTGACACACACTTCACAGTGACACATAGTCCACGGGCAGTATGGAGATGGGGAAGGGGATCCTACAGGAAGGGGAGGTGAAGAGAATGGAGCAGCTAGAATTTGAGGTGAGAGGAAATCTTGGATGAGGAGGAGGAGGTCTCAATTGTTGGAAACAAGGGCTTCCAGGGGTGGCTCAGGGCAGGATTTGTCCATGATGTCCAGTCCTCTGGAGTTCCTCTCAGCACAGGGAGGCAGATGTGGGGGAATAAAGACATTCACCTTGGGCCTAGCCACAAACCAGGTCTCCCGGTGCTTCCGGGCACTTACTTGGATCTGGCCTGTGCAAATGTCTGGTCCCTTTTCTCCACAGCTCCACAGTCAGCACCGCTAAATCTTTCCTCCCTGAAGCTTTCCTGAAGCAGCACTTCGAGGCTATGGAGTTGGAGGGTGGCGACCCTGAGCCTGGAGACCTCTTCCTGTTCAGGCTGATGTCCCCCACTGGACACTGGTGCAGGGGCCCACGTAGGCATGTACTGCAGCCACGGAGAGAGTATCCACTTCGAGGGTAAGCATCTCCAGCTGAAACAGGCCCTACTCTGTGAAGAAGGCTGCCCATCCAAGCCCCGCTGCACCAGTGGGCGGGCCATAAGGGAAGGACAACTGTATTCTCCAAATGAAGGTGCAGGTCTCTGAAGATAGGCACTTGGGCACCAGGGTATGGGGCTCACGACCTCTGGGAACTGGGAGAGGGCGCAGGGTCACGTGGCTGGGGTCATAGCACCTAAGCCCAGCCATGATCCACACCTGTCCTGCAATCCTTGCAGGCAAGAATCCGGGTGGCCACCGGCCGCAAATATTTCTGTGCTCCTGCCAAGGTGTTGTATCTAAACTGGGCAGCGCCCGCTGCTGCGCTCCTGCGTGTTGAGCTGCATAGACTCAGTGGTGTGGACTCGCCTCCTTAGCACCCTACCCAGCAGCTGCATGCAATTCGCGCTGTGCCTGCTTGGCCAGGAGCCCAGCCTGGACCCCCTGCAAATAGACCCCAAGTCCAGTTAGCTAGGTGAGTGAGGCCCAGCTACCCACGCAGTACCCCCTTCACCTCCTGACTCGCTGAACAACCGCAGCCCACCAGTGCGCTCCTGGAAAATTCACGCCCTCCCGTGCACCCAGGTCACGTTCCTCAAACTCAAGGCCCAATTTACTCTGGCAGACAAAGCCAGAAGCAAACTAGGCCTGCCCACTCCAGGGTTCTACTCTGAACCCTTTGGGCCCACTCCAGGAGAGCCCTGGCTCACAGACCACAGCCACATCTCTACTTAAGCCCACCAGCCTCTAAACCCAGGCTTTGCCAGAATCCTGCTCCCCCAATGGATCCAAGGTACAGAGCCCAGCTCCACCTGTCTGGGCCCCACCCATTTCCACCCAGCTCTCCAACTCTGGCCCTGAAGACCTCCAGATCCTAGATTATATAGATCAAGATTCACCCCCACAGATTCTTCCTCTCTCCAAGTCCAGCCCTCCTGACCTCCTCCCCCAAGCCCAGCTGAGAGACGCCAGCCATCCAGCCTAATGCTCCAAACTCAGGCACAACTAGATCCCAGGCCTTTCTCCAGCCTGGTCACTACTTTCCCTCTAGATCCAGGCTGTCACTCCTTGGCATGCCTTGGGCCTTGGGAACTGAGTGGAGGCCTCACATGATCATATCAGATCCTAACCCAGCCTCTCTTCTGTCCCTTCCTCCATAGGTGTCAGTCAATGTGGACTTGACCTTGGTGGACTACAGCTGACCTCAGGTCCTCCAGTGTGGGTATGGGGGCTTCAGAAATGGTCATTAAATTTTTCCGGAGGTGAAGTCCAGGTTCACCGCCGCCTCTATTTTGTTTCCATCTTTGCCCGTAGTGGGCTCTTAAGTGCTCTTGGACCAGCCTTCCCTAAATTCCATCCCTTCCAGGAAGCCCCCTGGCTTCCTGGTGAGAAACCAGGACATAGTCAGAGAGGCCCAGATTTTGTAGGAAAAGTGAAGCAGGTAAAGGGAGTGACTTTGGTGTCTGAGGCCTGCCTCCCTGTGCCATGCTCCAGGGCCCCCAGCCTTGGAGCACAGCCTTCTCTCCAGTCCCCCTCTTTCCTTCCACTAAGTGGGTAAGCATCTGTGCTCGTGTCGGGAATGAGCAGAGCTCCTAGAGCCTGGTCCACGGGGCTAGTTTGGCGGGTGGGGTCGGGGGGGTGGGTGAAGGCGACCTGGATCCCTGGAAGGCTGTCCCATCATAAGTTCAGCCCCCACCACCCACCCCCAGACCTGCAGGTGCGTCAGTTCCTCAAAGGGCAGTCACCGTCCTTACAGGCAGTGGGGGGGGGGCAGGGGATTTGCCAGG